TAATCAAAGGCATAAAGGAACTGACTATTGTCTAAAAATATATATTGCATAGTGGATCATGAGCAGAGTCCCAGGAAAATCTTGGGAATGTTTAATGCTGCACTTAGGAAAGAATGTAGGATTAGAGTTCACTGTGGTTACTACAAAATTAAATGGTCAGTGAATGCCTGGACTAAGACTTGAAACCAAGTCTGTCTGCCCTTGAATATATTCCTTCCATGAAGATACTAGATTTCAGAGATTAATGCAAGGCTTAAACAATAGGAGGAAGAACACAGCAGAATAAGCACATGAGATTGTATGTCTCTGTCCACACCGTGCTGATCACAATCCTATACACAGCTCCTTCTCCAGGCATTTTTTGTTTTTACAGAAATCAACTCTTTCTGAGCCTTCATGTGTTCTAACAGTTAAAATTCAAGATGAAGAGTGCATCTCCTGTGAGCCTGATTTATCTCTTATTCTTTTTATCCCAACACTCTGGCTCCATCTTCCTTACTCGTATTCTAAGTGTGTGTCTAATTGTCTGTCTGGCTACAAAAACAAGACATGAAAGTTCCCTCTGTATGCAGCTTCTGTGTGATCATACACCAAGATATTCTTTACCTAGACTAACAAGAGACAAGAGTATTTTACCAAGATCTTTTCTGCCTAAGGACAAGCCCTGGGGTAGCTCTGTTTATTATGAATTCCTCCATGAAAAGAAAAATTCTTTGGGTTGGGGAGATAGCTCAGTTGAATAAGCACTTACCTGGCAAGAGCAAGGGCCTGAGTTCAATCCCCGGTTCCGGAAAAAAAAAAAAAAAAGAATTCGGAATGAGCTAAATGCAGGAGTGTTGATTATTATGTTCCTTTCAAGAGGCTGTCAGAGGCACCAGCGGGACCTGCCAGTACAAGCCCAGGCCCAGCGTGGGTAAGACCCTCTTCCACCCCCTTTGGATGCCCCCCACCACTCTGCAGCATGCCACCCAGCCCACCCAGTAGGAATTTCTGCCACGTTCCAGGCACCCCCAGATCCAGTCCTAGCCCAGGCCTGGTGAGTGTGTGGGAGAGCTTCTGGCTACCCTGCGCCAGTGGGACCTGCCAGTCCCAGCATGGGTGAGACCCACTTCCACCGACTTGGGACACCTCCCACCACTCCGTAGCACCCCACGCCACCCTGCTCACTGAGTGAGAATTTCTGCCACGGTCTGGGGACCTCCAGATGCAGTCCTAGCCCAGGCCCAGTGAGTGTGTGGGAGTTTCCTCTCCCTCCTACTACACCTTGTCCCCTCCAGACTTGACTCAGGCCTGGCATACAGATGGGGTAAAACCCTGCAACTGCAATCTATGCAGAGAGAGTAGGGGACAGAACCACCCAGCTAGTCCAGGAGTAAAACATCTTGCCAGAGGGGCACAACAGGTTCACTCCCAAAGGTGGCAACAGGAAGGAGCTGAGCACAGCAGCCAGACCCAAACAAGGCACAACTGGATATATCCAACCTTTGTAGATCTGCATCTGAACTTCAGTAGGTGCTAAGGTTATAACAGCACCAAAGATCTACAACAAAGGTCAGAAGACAGTGCTACACAAAATGACAATGAGAAGGAGCAAAATGAAATCTCCGAACCCAAGCCTACCTGTAACAAGTGCAGAGGACACTAACACAGAACAAATTGGGAATCACACAGCTAAAATCAATGAATCAACGGCTTCTGAAATAAAGAAATGGCTGCATAAAGGTATAGAGGAACTCAGATTGGAAATGAAAAAAGAAATATCTGAATTAATATCATCTGCAGTAAAGAATCAAATGCGGAAACACATGGAAGAAACCCAGTGCCCACCCAGAACAAGTGCAGAGGACACTAGCTCAGCTCAAATGTATGAATTAATAGTGTCGATAGTAAATAAGCAACAGCAGAAAGTCATAGAGGAACTCAGCACAATTCTTTTCTGAAACAAAAAAAGAATTCTCTGAACTCATAGCATCTGAAGTAAAGAATCAACTCCAAAAGCATAAGGAGGAAACCCAATCTGAAAAAAAACATTGCAGTAAAAGAATTAATAATTGCTTCTAAAGAAGAAATTGATTTAAAAAAGAGATTAGAAAAATGACAGATTACTTGAATGAGCAACACAAGAAAGAAATAGATCACATGAAGCAGAATCAAAGAGATATAGAGGAATTTAAAATCTCAATCACAAGCTTGCAAAACCTTTTAATTGAAAGTGAAAACAGAGTTTCAGATCTCGACGCTGGTGCAGCTAGTGAAAAGGTAAGAAAGGATCTCTTAAAAACAACGAGGATGCAGGAAAGAATAATCCATCACCTGCAAGATGATGCAAAGATGAACAATGTGAGACTAATAGGCATCAATGAGAAAGAAGGAGTCAATACAAATGACATTTAAAAAAACTACTATACCCTGCCAAACTGTCTTTCAAGTTTGATGGAGAAGTGAAATACTTCCATGACAAAGAACAGCTAAAGAATTTCATGATGATAAAGCCAACCCTGCACAGGCTCCTAAAAGATGCTCTAGAGAGGGACCAAAGTGATCAGAACTCCACAAATGAGATCAGAAGCAACCAACTAAATAGGGCAAGCAATTAAACACAGGAGAAAAAGGAGTAAATGACAACAAGTAAATAACATGTCAATCATAAGTCAATATATCTCAATTCTAACCATCAATGTAAATGGACTCAATTCATCAATTAAGAGAAATAGACTGGCACAGTGGATTAGGAAACAAAATCCAACATTATGCTGTATACAAGAAACACATTTAATTCATAAAGACATTCATAGGCTGAAAGTCAAGGTATAGAAAACAATATTTCACGCCCAGTACCTCAGAAAAAAGCAGGTGTAGCAGTCCTATTCTCAGACAGTCTCAACTTCCAACCAAATGGAGCTGGGACAGATTTTACTCTCACCCTCAGCTGCCTGCAGGCTGGAGACTCTGCAGCTCTTCCCTGCCAACAGCATGATGAAGACCCTCCTCCACGGTACAGGAGCCATGACATCAACCCCCTGGAAAGCAGATGCATGAGGCTGGGCGGCCCCAGCTGCTCCCCCTGCTGCCTGCACCTGCTGCTGAAAATGATTCTCAGATTCAGGGCAGATGTGATGGCCCCTGCAGCGTCTTGGAGGCAGAGGCAGTGAGACACCTGCATATCCTGTATCTTTCTGTTCACTCCCAGCAGCATAGACATGACAGGGCCTTTCCATACTTCATTGAGAACAGAACTTGTCATGGATTTTTTTTTCTGCCTTCTTGGGAAATTATTTAATAAATAATTATTATTAAATAAGTATTAAGACTTTGAATACCAAACCAAAGAAAAGTTAAAATACAAATAGAACAAGACCCAACCTGTAACAATGTTCCAGAACTAAGCAACAATAAAAAAGTATTCAGTTTTTCTTACCAAGATTACTCACCAAATACAGTCCTGGCATACACATTTTACAACACGCTTCTCATCTGCAGGGAAAGGGGCCATGGCCGTGTCTAAGACAGTAGGATCCAGCGTGTCTGATGTGCTATACCTAGGCGATCCCTGGCTCTCTGAACTTCATTCCTAAGCACGTAGCTCCTGCAGGAGTCCACAGCATACATCTCAGACATCACTGTCTCCCTCATCATGTCATTCTTTCTCTTCTTCTAGCAGTTCATATTAATGGCTGGATACCAGACAGAAAGTTGGGAGGAGTCTGCCTACTACTGTACACGGGGCTCGCAAGAACTTTTCATATTTGGAGCATGTAGGTTGTTGAATCACTTGGAATTTATAGTGAAAAATAAATTGTCCAGCAGGCATCATGTGGAGGCAGGCATGGGGAACCTGACCCTAAACTTTAGCCATTAATTGACTTAGGGATTCCGATAGCCAAGAAGCTCATACTAGAAATAGGGATTCTTGATGCTTCCTCAGAGTGTCTCTGCTGTAAGGGACACACTTCTCCACAACTCTCACAACCCCTGGAATCCCCGAGTTGGGGTGACAATGGTGATCCTGCATTAGCCATCAGTCCTTCTTCATCTGCCTGGAAGTACCAGTTGGTATTGAGTTCTCCTGCATTGAATTCCAAATCTGATGAGAGAACGTATATTTGAGCAAGGGCCAGAAGATCTCAATAAAGGGTTGAGACGATACCAGAGTTGCTGATAACACCTGAGAGCGCCTTCCCTGTGCTGTGCTCCATCCTGCAGGAGATGTCTGAGAAGCTGAGTGGCAGTGACCACTCTGGGTCACTGTTTCCTTAAAAACTCACCACTGGGCTGAGGACACAGCTCAGCTGCTTAAGCACCTGCCCAGCAAGCACAAGGTTCTGAGCTGGAACTCTGATTTAAAAAAAAATCCTCACCATCAATGAGGGAGATGGTTTCTCATGAGAAGCAGTACCTTGGCTATGAACTTAATATCTTTTCCAATTTGGGGGCAGATGGCTGCTTTTATGTTTGTGTAGGGCAAGTAGTCATGTTTGTGTTTGTCACCAGATGTGGAATTTGCACAGTGAAGCAAAATTTTCCCGAATGCCCTTGTTTGCAACCTGAGCTGTTTGTAAGCAGGGGAGTTCATGAACTGAGGCATTACTGGAATTCCTAACAGGCCCATGATGCAACGCTGCTCGACCTGGAGTCTGCCTCCAATTTTGCAAATCACAATAGGAGGACTTAGCAGGTACCAACAGCCACAGTAGAATAGTGGAGAGTAGAGGCTGCTGCAGAGACACCTGACTGTCTCGGGACAGCTATCAGCATCAGTACCCTACCCCGTGTTTCTCACAGGGCTGAGGAGTACCAGATTTTAGTACATCTGTGCTCAATCCTCTGGGGAATGACCAGAGAATTTGCTACTTGTAGAACAAAATTTAAGGACAGCCACACTTACTTAGCCAGTGAATGACCATAGTATAGACACTAAAGCCCTGTAGTAAAGAAGAGTCTGCTTAGAAAGAAGAGTCAGCTGGGCAGCCCAGCCTCACACTTCTGCTTCCCCAGGAGGTTTATGTCATGGCTTGTATCACTGTGAGAGGGAGACTGTTACCCTGTTGGCAGTAATAAGTGGCCACATCTTCAGGCTGCAGGCTGCTGATGGTGAGAGTGTAATCTTGCCCTGATCCACTGCCGCTGAACCTCGTTGGGACCCCATCGTGTCGAATGCTGGCAGCATAGATCAGAAGTTTAGGCCCCTTCCCAGGTTTCTGTTGATACCACGCTAAAACACTGCCTATGTTCTGACTGGCCTTGCAATTGATGGTGACAGTGTCTCCTACAGGTGCAGAATGAGAGCTTGGAGACTGGGTCATCTGGATGTCACATCTGGAACCTGACATGAGAAACATGAAAACAAAAAGTCAGCATATTAATCACATTAGAAGAATTTTCCCTGAAGAGCCAGCACTGACCACAGTTGGATGGGCAATATGGACTTGTTTTACTTTACCTGGGAGCCAGAGCAGCAGGAGCCCCAGGAGCTGAGCGGGGACCCTCACGGCCATGCTGTGTCCTGACTGGGACTGACTCTGCACAGGGTCTGAGCAGTCTATTAAATGCCCGTGCTCTGGGAACAGGCAAATCAGTGATCTGGACAGGGCGATACACAGCTGCGGCGCTGTCACATCTCAGCAGCTCAGTGCCCACCAGTAACCACAGATTTGCCTACAGAAAATATGTTTCTTCTGAGGGACATTTCATTATAGACAACGTGTGGGGAAAATTATCAGCATTCTCAATGAATCTAGGCTGAGATTCATAATCAGTTTCACAGATGAAGTAAGATTTTATAGTATACACTTGTTTGGAAGCAATACAAATTAAATTATGGCAATGAAGGCTTCAACTTCATAGTAAATATTTCTGTTAGAGGCAGGTAGATATTTCACAATCTACTTAAGTCATTTCTGTGGCTATAAAATTATTTTATTTTTAATAAATAAATTCAGCCCTTTCGTGAATTCCCTTAGATATACTCTAAATCATTTTGGAATGCACTTATACCAGTGTTATTCTGTTGAGTGTGAACTAATCTACTGCAGATGCCTAGGAATAGGAAGCTGTTTCTTTAGTGGCGTGTTTGCTTCAGAGATCCAACATTATTCAAAACTAAGGATCACTGCTCTACCATGATACAGAAAGGACACACATTATCACTTGGGGATCATTGCAGATTCATCAGAGCTGTGAGAACGACAGCAAGGCTGGATATAGTCGGCCACAGGAGTCTCAGATGTCTTGTCTGTCTGAACCCTGAACTGAGCATGCACAACCTATTTATTGAGATGCTTAGAAAGTGCCAATCACTGACAAAGAGCAGAGCACAAGAAGCCCTCTAAATCACGAGGTCCTGATCAGTCACATACTACACTTATCTTAAGACTTTAAAGTACACAAGCTTTCCTCCTCTAGAATAATTTTGTCTTGGTTGATAGAAATTGCTCAGAAAGTGTTTCGTAGTAGAAAGGATGCAGAATAAAAATCCAGATGGAAAAGAGGAAAGGGACGCTAGCAGCGTACAGGAAGGAAGGCCAGTCAAGAAATAGGAAAGCAGGCTTCCCTGGATCCAGACAGGGAAGGGGCATGTCAAGCAACAATGTCCAAAACTGCTAGAGAGAGGAAAAAGGTGTTTATAAGGGAATCATAAGAAGTTTCAGATTGATGAGGTCATGGGTCTTCCCCTCTTAGTCCGAGGGAACCCATGCTAACTACCAATATAAGGAAAAAGCCTGTTAGACTTTTGATAGATGTTCATGTAGATTTGTCAGTAGTTACCCAAATGGTGGCTCCACTTGCAAGCCGGAGAGCACTCCGTGCTTTCCCTAAGCCTGGCAATTCATGCAATACATAGAGTAGCAGTAGAGTTGATGAAACCCACAAGGCCAGTGCTATCGGAAACAATGCTCAATGGCCACGGAAAATAGAAAAGATTAAACCCCACATTTAAGAGATCTCCGCTAATGGACCTACAGAAGTTCTGACTAGTCTTTTTATAATTACAAACTGTAGAAGGTTATTACAATCCACATCCTTCTGCTAATGCCTCAATAGCTGTCTAAGATATGAAACATCAAATCAATGATATTGCAGACTCTGAATTCCCATGAACCTTGTCCATATCATCTTTATGGGAAGCCATTACAAGATCCTCCTGGTGGAAATGGTTGTTGACTGAATTCATAATTAACCTCCTGTTATTTTTTGGCCCATAGGTATTTAATTGTTTCTTTGTCTTTGTCTTCTACAGATTCAAAGTTATACATCTACCCAAGATAGTGCCTGATGTCTATTGGGGACCTTTAAATAGAACCTCTGAAAGAGTATCTCTGACTGCCTGTCAACAACTTCAACCCCATTCCACCTGAAGAGGCCAGAGGTCATCGCCTATTGTTCCCTCACAGCAGCTCAGGCCACTTCTTCAAGGGAGGAATGTTGCAGGCAGCTAAATTAAGTAAAAATATTATAGGTAGTCAGACAGGGCCAGGCACTCAAGGAGACAATATGGAAGACAAGGTGACTTTGCAAGTGGAAGGGACAGACACTCCTGTGGTGGACAAGTCCTCAAGACAAAAGAGCAAACAAATGCAGCCACATACTTCCCTAGGGAGAGGCATAAGGGATTGATATTCTAACTAGGTATCAATCCCCTTAAGGAATCACTAACCCATCCTCGAAGGGCAAGAGACCCTGTTCCTTATTCATGTCCCCTTGCTATGTGACTGGCTTCCCCGTTGGGTCCTGGATTTAATCAATGTTACCTGAGCGATGGTGCTTGTAACCTTATGGGTTGATCTTAGTTCTGTCCCACGTCATGCCCACCTAGGCAGGTTACCATGTTCTCCACCTTAGGCCCACTTCACCACATAGTTTTACTCTATAAAATATCCTGAAAGACACAGCCACATGGGCAACCTGCTCAGGTGCCCCTTTTGTCCCTCTCAGGACCAGAAGCTTTCTTCCACCCACCCCAATAAATATTCTGTTCTAAAAAAAAAAGTTTTCCTCCTCTGGTCTCTTAAGATAGTTCTGAGAAAACAAACCAGATTGTTCTGTGCATCCTGCTTGCCACCAAGTAAAACTTCCTCCTCTTTGTTGTCCCTGAACTTTGTCCTCAGAGATCAGTCAGGAATCATACAACAGCGGATTCCTCTCCCACTTTCCCTCTGCTTTTCTTCCATCTGCTAATATTTCTCACAGTCCATCAGAATGAAAGACTGACCAGTGTTGTGAGACCCTTTAGCTACAACAAAAATCTCTGTTTCTGTCTCCAGTTATAAAGGCCCAATTAAGTTAAGAGTCATTTCTGCATCATTCCAGACCCTCTAAACTCGGTTCTTCCCAGGAAGGCACATACCCCAGGCATGTCACCTGGGAAATTTCCCTAATGTACAAGCCTTGCCAACACAGCCCTTGGGATTTCAGTGCAGCTCTTCTGGAACCTGCGGCTTTCTAGAAAGCAGCTGGAGAGGGAGGCCATAGGGAGAGGCCAGTCTAGCACCTACAGTGAGGGGCTGCTCGTGGGGGAACCCCTCTGCCCTGTACCTCTTGAACTCATTAGCAGTAGTTGGGGGTGAATATTTCCACAATAAATATGAGAATGTGACTATCTCTGTTGCGTCTTCATTTTCTTTGGATGAACACTCAGAAACGGTACAGCTGTGTCTGACAGTAGCTATGTTCTTAGTTTGTTGAGAATCCTGTATATGGCCTTCCATAACAGCTTTAATAATTTACATCTGCAAAACATTCCATAAAGGTTCCTTTTACTAAATGCCCTAAACAGCAGTTATATTTTATTTTTGTTTTTGCTTTTGGTACTAGCCATTGTGACTAATTTGATGTGAAATCTTAATCCAATTTAAATTCTTAGTGTTCTGATGGCAAAACATAGGAGCATTTTATCACATTGTGGTAACCATTTAGACCTCTTCATTTGAGACTGCTCGCCCCTTTTAGTAGGTTATTTGTTCATTTTTTTCTTGAGCTCCATGTATACTCTGCATATTAATGTTCTGCAGATGAACAGCGGGTGGACATTCCATGTGCTGTGTCTTCTCTGCACATTTTGCTTCGCTGTGGAGAAACAGCATGATCTGATGCCATCCCGTTGTCTGGTCTCCCTCTTGTTTCTTGAGTTATCTGAGCCCATTTGAGAAAATCATTGCCTGTGTCTGTGTCTTCTATTTTCTTCTGACAGTTGGAATATATCAGGCCTTATGTTTATCTCTTCAATTTTGAGTTGATTTTATGACAGGATGAGACATAGGAGCCTAATTTCATTCCTCTAAATGAAAAATACATAACTTTTATCAAGATGGAGATATTAATCAACATCACTGAACTGAAGAATTTTGATAATGGAAAGAATTGACCTGGTCAGCCCAGTGTAGATTCAAGGGTCCACATAATAGCGAATGACAAAGTCACAACCCGAGAGGGCATATAATTGGCAAGGGACAGCAGAGGGACTGCGGGGTGAAAAGATGCACTTACAAGGCCAGAGTCACGCAGTACACCTATTTCTGGCTTTTCCCTTAAGGCAAAATGAAGAAAAGTAAACATTTTTAATTGACTCTGGACAGTGACCCAGCCACATCACAACAACTAAAAAAGAAGAAGGAAGAATTTCCAGAACTGCTTCAGAAGTGACAGGGACAAAGAGCTATCTTCCCATGAAAGGATTTTCTAATGAACTAAAGGTAATAGATCTTTTACAATTTAGATGTTCTCAATGAAGGACCAGACTGATAGCTCAGCAGATTAAAGCACCTGCTTAGACAGAGCACAGTGGCCAAGGTTTGATCCTAAGCCTGCCATGCCAGCCTCACCCACGGGGTGTGCTGAGACAGCGATTGAGACTGGGCATGGTGGTGCATGCGTATAATCCCAGCACTTGGAAAGCTGCAAACAGGAGGATCACTATGAGTCCGATATATGTAGTGAGACCCTGTACACCCTGGAGACCCTGTCCTAAACTACATTTATAAAAAAAAGATGTTCTTAATGTACTGTGGCTCTTGATCAGACCCCACATAACCTGAGCCCCAAATGAAGGAATTCAGAGGAAAAGGTCAGAAATTCTAGGTGTAGCCATAACAGATCTGAGCGATATCATGAAGTATGATTAATTGTTCTTCAATGCCCAGAAATATTATGAAATATATAAAAAATCATAATTAACAGGGAAAATGACAAAGTAGAAGAAAATAGTCATCACTAAACTAAGCAGTGAGCACAGTAAAAGATGCTCTACTGGGTGAGGATCCACTTTGTTTTCCATATGCTGACAGAGAACTGATTTTCCCACCGACCTGTGTGTTAGGTATTTTTAAGTTGTAGAAACTTGGTGGATTACAAGAACAATGTCCTGGACTGGGGACACAAGAGCCCAGGGGCATAAGTGCCAGCCTGACAATTCCAAGGTCCCTAGTTCCATCCCCTGTACCAAAAAACAAAAACAAAGAACCATGTCCTCCATCACCAGATGAACCGAGAGCTCAGTGGG